CCCTGGGGGGTCTGAGGGATGGGGAGTGATGACTGGGGCCTGAGGTCTCTGAGGCTGGAAGTAGAAAGATTGGAGTAGCAGATGGATGTGGATGAGCTTGAAATCTGAGGCCTGAGTGTGGCTTAAACTCACACATCTGCTTCTACTTCATTCTAATTTTTTGATGATTACAATTTATAGTGACCCAGCTGTTTCTGCTGCTCCCTTTTTGAGATGAGTTTGCTGTGTAGTGTAGCTGGCCTTGCATGTGCACCAGGCTCTCATATTATGGCTTCCTGAGTGCTGGGATTATGGGCATGTGCCATAATACCGGGATTGAAGAGTTCCTAACTATTATTTTTAAAGTAGTTTTTAAATTATTATTATTATTATTATTATTATTATTATTATTATTATTTATGTGTATGTGTTTCTATGGTTTAAGTGCATGTGTGTCTGTTTGGGTGAATGAAAGCACAGTCTGGCTTGTAATCAAGGATGACCTTGAAACTCTTAGTCTAATTTGGGAATACATGATACCCTGTCTCAAACCACAGAAAAACAAAGCAACCCCAAAATTTTGAACTGTTATAGTTTTTGCTTACAATGAACAAGCATTTAAGATCACCTCAAAAACAGCAATTAGATACTTTATTCCTTTTATATATTCAAAGACTAAACATACTAAACATACCCAAAGAGCTGTCTTCTATAGGACAGGCCTACTATACTTATGTTGTATTTTGCCAACAATTTGTAAGTTGGAATGTTTGTATTTTTTGTCTTCACCCTTTGGATTTTCTTTAATCAATCTTTTTTCTCTTCCCTCCCTCCCTCTGTATAGCCCTGGTTGTCCTGGAACTTAACTCTGTAGACCAGGCTTACCTCTAACTCAGACATCTGCCTGCTTCTACCTCTCAAGTGCTGTGATTAAAGGCGTGCACCACCACCGCCAGGCTCTTTTTATTTTTCTAGAAAAGAAAATTAAAGTTCAAAAATCAAGTTATTCATCTACTTAAAACAGCCTTCGGAGGCTGGAGAGATGGCTCAGAGGTTAAGATCACTGATCTTCCAAAGGTCCTGAATTCAATTTCCAGCAACCACTTGGTGGCTCAAAGCCATCTATAATGATCTGGTGCCCTCTTCTGCCTGCATAGAATGCATCTGTTCAGAATGAATAAAGATTGCCTTCATGATAAAAGGCTGCATATAATATAAAAAAAACAGCCTTCATCTATTAAGTTAGGCCACTCACTATAATGAGTATGGGCTCATGGAATACTGAATGTATTACTTCTAGATTTAGAATTGTTAAGACAGGAGCAGTTGGATTGTCATAATCTAGCAGCTAATATTGGAGGGGTTTGTATATATGTATGTATTCATATATATATATATGTTACATAATTGGCTCTCACTTGCAGAAATTGAGTACATGCAAAGTAGTATACAAAATGTACATAATTCTAGTCATTATAGTCTTATAATTCTAGTCTTAATACACAAGACATTGTCTCAATACATACGATTGTCTTAATTAGTTGTTGACTGATTGGTACATTACTGATCAACACAATTGCTGTCAATGAGATGTGGGTACCCAGCTCTAGTCACTCTGCGTTTGCACTTGATAATACTGAGATGGTTGGACATGCCATGCCATTCCTCCCCATTCCTCTCCCTTTAATCAAACAAATCCTCATATAAAATTACATTATTGAATGGAGAGAACTTCAAACCACTTTCTTTAGATATAATATGAAGTATAGATTATAGCTTGGAAAAGTAAATTAGAAAGAGAAGCAGGAATTAATTGGGCGGTGGTGGCGCATGCCTTTAATCCCTGCACTTGGGAGTCAGAGGCAGGCAGACCAGCCTGGTCTACAAGAGCTAGTTCCAGGACAGTCTCCAAAGCCACAGAGAAACCCTGTCTCGAAAAACCAAAACAAACAAAAAGTAGGAATAGATTTTCCTGGGGCAAGCAAGTGTGTGTGTGTGTGTGTGTGTGTGTGTGTGTGTGTGTGTGTTAAAGCAGCTAATACAGCAGAGTGAAGCATAGCATTTTAAGGGTTTTGATGTGCCTTCCTCTGGGCCCTAAGGAAGCTTCTTAAAGGAACATCTGTTAGGTTGCATAAGTGGCACTGGTCAGAATTTGTTGAATTTTATCTAAATGCATTTTCTACTCGTGGGATTACAGTGACGTCTGGAAGTAATTTCCAACAATTGTTTTCATAGTTATATGCTATGAAGCCTAGTGATGTACTAGACATAGGAAAGATTACTAGTGTGTGAGTATATATTAAATTTTATAACTAGGCATAGTTACTTGCATTTTACAGAAACAGAAGAATGTACAGTTTTGTAATCCAAGCACCTAGCAGGCTGAGGCAGGAGGACTGCTTTGAGATTGAGTAACTGAAACTCATGGAGAGAGCTTAAAACAGAATAATACCAATTTCCATCAAAGATGAATTAAACCTCCTTTTGTTTACTTAGGAATTATTTTTGTAAAACCAAGCCAGATTTGTTGCTGAGATTGGGCCGGTGAAGGTCACCTTTGGGCATTAGGGCTCTGGGCAATTTGCTCTCCTGGCATGTGGGACTTGGCTGCACCCTTGCCTCAGTAGTACAGAATGTGTTGCTGCTGCTGTGGATGCTGTTGCTGCCTCTCACTTGAGGGAGTGACTACTTTCCTCATGATTACTATTTCATTTCATAAGGTACCATGGATAGACATGACTTCAGTCTCCTGTATGAACCGAAAAGCTTAAGGGTGGCAAACAAATGGATAGTGATGAAAGCTGGCTAAAATCACCTTGTGAGAGTAACAGACTTGAAATATGTAATGACTTAATCTGAATAATGATGTCATGATACAAGATTTCTCCACTTTTCTGTAAATGAGAAATCGAAACACAATTTAGGTGGCATTTAGTAAGTTGAGAGTCAAGCCTGTATTTGGCTATAGATTAAGTGGCTCAAGAGTGAACTTGAATAGACTTCAGTGTTTTCAGAATGAGGGAGCTATGAGAAGTACTTAAGGTAAAGAAAGAATATTGGAATGGTCGTTTTACAGGTAAAAAATCAAGTCCTATTAGCAGATGCTTTGCATTTTGCAGTGTATATAGGGATTGTCCCATGTTTTTCTTGTTTGCTCATAGTAGGAGGTTTGTGGGGATACATGGTATTGTCTGTTTAGTCTTACAGCTTTAGGATGTTAGTAACATACCATATTTCCATGATGAGCAAATGGGAGCCAGGACTAAACCAAGTCCTTGTTAGCATTGTTCTAAAGGGTACAAGTCTTTGGAAGTTTTTTTGTTTATTGTTATCAAAATAATACTGCCAGTAATAGTACTCAGTAGATCATGTGACATATCTAAATAAAACAAGACCTTATATTGTTCTCCCTATATGTTTTGTTAACTGTGCATGAAACTGAACTCTGTACTTACTCCCTGTTAGGGACTTTTTATGATGCCTTTGTGTTCATACCTACTGCATTTCATATTTATTCTTATTTTAATTTTGTGCATTAGATAAATGGTGACAGGTGGGTGAAATCAGGTACAAAAAGTTACTTCTTGATAAAAGACCAACTTAATTAGTGGTAGAGCTCAGGCTCCCATTATTTTGCTGACTCCAGGAAGTAATTAACTGTAGATTAACCAACCTGCTTATCACTGCTTGCCTGGGAATTTCCCTCACTAGTGGAGGTTCTACATCCTGGGAAATTCTACCTTGACTAGTACATCAGGCTAGTTGTCATCCTAATGAATTTTATGCTTTGTGCTGGATTGGGGATGGGAGTAAGCTTGCCACATGATATAAAAGGCACCCACTTTCTTGTTTTGGATTATTCATCAGTTTCTGTAGAATGCAAATAAATGAAGCAAATTACCTCAGAGGTAGTGAAGGACCCAGCTTTTTAATTAAATAAAAACATGTAAAATTAAGTTTGAACGAGAGTAGCTAAATGTCTTTGTCAGTGTTCTATTGCTGTGAAAGAAGAGACACTGTGATGAAGGCAACTGAATTGGGGCCTTGCTTACAGTTTCAGAGATTTAGTCCATTTTCATCATGGTGGGAGCATGGCAGGAGCATGGCAACCCCCTGGGCACTAGGGTAGTAGCTGAGAGCTGCATCCTGATCTGCAGGCCAGGAGAGAGGAATACAGCGAGAGACACTGGGCTTGGTGTGGGCTTTGTTTGTTTGTTTTTGTTTTTTTGAGACAGGATAACCCTGTCCTGGAACTTTCTCTGTAGACCAGGCTGGCCTTGAACTCACAGAGATTTGCCTGCCTCTGCCTCCCAAGTTCCGAGTGCTGGGATTAAAGTCTTGTGCCACCACCCCCTGGCCTTGGTGTGGGCTTCCTCCAACAAGGACACACCTCCTCATCTTTCTAAGCTTTTCAAACAGTTCCAGTCTCTGGTGAACAAACATTCAAATCCATGAGCTTATGGGGGCATTCTCACTCAAACCACTATGTTAGTTAATACCAATTTTTTTTTTTTTTTTGAGTTTTTAGGATATGTTTGTTCTTTGATACTCTGATGTTCTGGGAATACCAAGACCATTTGTTTTCATGCTGCCATTTACCTGTATAGAAGCTTTTAGTGCCACACAGTCCCCACCCCTCTTAAACAAAAATCTATATTCTCTGGACTGGTCTTCATAATACTGTGCAATGATTGTCAGCAGCAAAACTTATCAGCCTGGAATGGTGAAGAGTTAGGTTGGCTGGCTGGCTGGTCTCTCCCTTACTATAAATGCTTTGAAAATTTGTATGCAAGTATTATATTTACATCATTCCCTCCCTTCTCTTAAAATGTCTACCATGTTATCCCACTATGATCTATCAAGGACCTCATCATCCCTGGAGAAGATTGATTCTCTTTCTCAGCAGCCATTACTTGTCTGCAGTTCTTTATCTAGAGGTAGTTTTTTTACAGTTCACACTGGCATGTTCATTGCTGTTGAGATTGTGCAGGTCCTATATTTTTAAGACTGCTTTTCTGTCATGTCTGGAAGGCATCTCACAGATGATGTCCAGAGACTTCTACATTCATCTATCCACGCTTCCATGATGTTCCCTGAGCCTTAGGTGTGGAGCTTGTGTCATAGTTGTATCAGTTGGGGTTGGGTACTGCAGTCACTTTTGCATTTTAACCAGTTGTGGATTTCTGTAATGATGTTCATTTGCAGCAAAAACAAACTTCTTCGATGAAGGGCAAGAGTTACCCTTATTTGTGGGTAACAGGATAAGTGTTTGGAATGAAGTTAGAGATTTTACTGGTTTAGGAAAGTGGCAGTAGTATGTTCTCCTTTATGGTCCATAACATTAGCAGCCACAGGTAGTTGCCTAGGGTTACTGCCAGGCGTAACTGAAAGTTACTGCTGTCTAACTGAAAGTCTGTGTCACTATTTTACCCTTGAGGATATTGCCATGCTGGTCCTTGTGGTTCATAGACATCATAGCTGGCTAGGACTGCTCATTACTGTCCTCCCTTGGCAGCTTGCATAGCACTCTCAGATGCTATGGGAGCTAGTCCTCAGTGACGAGACTTCTAGGTCAGTTACAGCTGAGAACCAGCTTGATTCTTCTGTGTCTTCGAAGTATGTAGTGTCTTTAGCAATAGCGCCTTGCCTCTAAGTTCTGGGAGACTATCAAAGCAACAGTAATAGCCTTTATTTTTGGGAGTCTTTTCAACTCTCATACCAGCTTGAAGGTTTCCTCTCCCTGGCACTGGGGTTTTTGTTGGGTAGTATATAGCTCTTGGGGAGATGATTATCACCTCATGTGGTATAACTTCATTCAAAATATATGTGTGTAGATGTTTGTATATACATACTTATACTTATCAGCAACCCTAAAATGTTTCCCTATGACTTTCAAGCATCCTTAATGCTATCTATCTGTCCTTTCCCTTTCCATTTCCAGGTAAAGCACCCTCCTCCCAGTTTTTCCCATTTCTCCCTTTATAGCCCCTATGTCCTACTATTACCCCTCACTGTAGAAATGCCCCTCCCCATGGTCTCTTTTTAATTTCTGGTTTCTGTGGTTACTTTAGGTTATATACTCATATCTAAAGATTCAGATATAGAATCCATAAATAAGAGAGAACATGTGATATTTGTTTTTCTGGATCTAGCTTACCTACTCAGTATATTTTCTAATTCCATCCATTTACCTGAAAATTTTATGATTTTATTTTTATTTGCGGCTGGATAGAACTGCATTGTGAATATGTATCACATATTATCCAGTCACCAGTTGAAGTTAGGTTGTTTTCATTCTTTAATTATGGTGAATGGAGCAACAGTGGCTATGATGAGCAAGTATCTGTGGAGTAGGATCGTGAGTCCTTTGGGGTCATATGGTAGATCTTTTAGCTTTTTTTGAGAATTCACACTGATTTACATAATGACTGCACCAGTGACAGTCACGAAATTGGTGACTGGAGACATGGCTCAGAGGTTAAGAGCATTGGCAGCTCTTTCAGAGGTCCTGAGTTCAATTCCCAGCAACCACACCATGGCTCACAACCGTCTATAATGAGATCTGGTGCTGTCTTTTTGAGTGCACATATACATGCAGGGAGAACACTGTGTATATAATAAATAAATCTTAAAAAAAAGACATACTATAGTCATACTTTGTCTTGCTTCATATTTTGATCTGCAAAAATTGTCCAATATGCAGGACTACCATGGAAAATAAAATACAATGTACATGATACTATAGTCATACTTTGTCTTGCTTCATATTTTGATCTGCAAAAATTGTCCAATATGCAGGACTACCATGGAAAATACATGTTTTGTCAATTCAGTTCCTTGTTACTACATAGAGTACAAATGGGACTTACTGGGAAATAGTAGTCCGTATTGACAGTGGCTGATGCTAGTATAATATAGGAACATGAAGTGGACAAATTGGTGGTTTCTTTTCCTCTTCATCACTATTTAAAATGTTTGTGGACATATATATATATATCCCACACACAGGGTTTCTCTGTATTGCCTTGAAGACTCTCTCTATAGACCAGGCTGGCCTTGAACTCACAGAGATCTGCCTGCCTCTGCCTCCAGTGTGCTGGGATTAAAGGTGTGCACCATCAACGCCCAGCTGTATTTGTGGATATTTAAGGCTAGGTTGGAAAGACTATTTTTGTTCACAGTATGTAGAAAATTTCCATGTAATTCCATTGTTAACAGATATATGGTACAAATGAGTTTCTTGAATTAAGGATATTACAGAGGGCCAGTATACTCTGTCTGATCCAAAGGCAACTCTAGTTGCCTAGCTAATATCCAAGAGTTTTTCTTTTAAAGTGATTTTGAATTAACCTATTTCTTTTTCTTCCTTCTAGATTCTTGTTGAAATCTGTTAATTCTATTTTTCGAACACTCATGAATAACCACGCATCTTCAAAACCATCTACCATGAAGCTAAAACAGACCATGAACCCCATACTTTTATATTTCATAAATTTTATAATATATCTCTATACTATTTTAACATACATTCCATTTTACTTTTTGTCTGAGTCACGACAAGAAAAATCAAACCAAATTAAAGCAAAACCTGTGAGTTCAAAACCGGATTCTGCATTCAGATCTATTCACAGCTTGGACAGTTTGGCTTCACTATTGTATCCTGGCTGTGATACACTTGATAAAGTTTTTATGTATGCAAAAAATAAATTTAAGGACAAAAGGCTATTGGGAACACGTGAAATTTTGAATGAGGAAGATGAAATTCAACCAAATGGAAAAATTTTTAAAAAGGTAAGAGGATGTCTACTGCCTTGAATCCCTTCTTACTTGTACTCAGGAGTCTCCTCTTCTTGTATACTTAGCATTATGGGAAGTGTAGTCTCCTGCAGCTGGGATCTGCTGATGTTGTAGGAGAAGATGTCTCTCCAGGGACCTAGATTGTTTTCATCCCTCTGTCCTCACTACTACTGATTTGACCAATTTTTCAGAAAGTCATGGAGAATGTGCCCTGAACTTGATATCTCCGGGGCTTGGGATAAAACATCTAGGCAGTGTGGGGTGGGGAACTCTAAAGTTTTGATTTTTCATGGGAACCACAGTGGCTGTTAATATCTTGGTACCTTGGTTATGGCAGTTACATGGCTTAAAATTTTTGTGTTTACCACTATAGAGACTCTTGGCTTGAAACAGAGAAAAGCTGTCTTTACAGACAGAAATATTGAGGTTAAGAACCTGGGCTTTAGACCCAGACTGCAAGTTTGAATTTTGGTTTCGCCACTTACTAGTCTTGTGGCTTTAGAAAAGTTATTAAAATGACAGTTGAATTAGTATTTATGAACCAAGCTGTTTTGATTAGTTTTTTTAAAACTGAAAGTAACCTTCTGGTTTAGATGATGCCATCTCTACTTTGAAGATCAGAGAGCACTAAGCCCAGATGAATCAGGTAGCTAACTTACCCGAGGACCCTAAAGCTATACTGAGTGGCAAAGCTGAGATTTGAATTCAGGCCTTATGGACTGTAAGAGAGGAGAAAAAACAATTATTTGTGTCATTTTCCTATTTACTTATTATTCATAAATTAGGTCTCTCTGCGTAGTCCTGGCTGTCTTGGAACTGTATTTAGACCAAAATGTTCTCAAACTCATAGATCCGCTTACCTCTTGCCTCCACAGAGTGCTGGGATTAAAGGCATGTACCTTTAATTTTTTATGTCAGAAGATATGCCTATTGTTAGTACTTGCTGTTAAATTTGCATTTGTGGTTTATCAGTTTGTTCAGAAGGCTATATATAGCTGTTCTGGGGATGTAGAATTAATTTTTAGGTTTTGTATGTATAACAAATGAAACATACTGTTGTCTGTATGCTTTGCTGTCTGTTAGTCAAGATTGGTGTTTCAGTTAGGCTATGTGGCAGCTGTGGGAATGGGCTGCAAGCTAGAGAGTGAGTTAAAAAGCTAACCCTGCACCCACCCACATGCTCTGGGTTCTTGTCACACCCATTGTATTGTGTCAGGACCAGCATCTGTCATGGCAGTGGATCCTGTGACACAGCTTAGTTCATCGTACTGACCAGACAGCAGAGGGAGTTCAGAAGACTTTTACTCACTTATTAATTTTTATGATTTCATGCAGCCCAGGCTTGTATCAGACTCTTGATCCTCTTACTTCCCTGGGATGGTAGAGCGCTGGCACTGAATGCATTGGTCTGTGCTACCACAGCAAACAGAAGTCTTATTTTTGGTGACTTGTTTTCATTAGAATAGCTACCAGGTTTGAAGATAACCTTCAGTTTGAGAAGCTTACGTGTATTAATATCTAAAAGTGGCCTCCTTACTTTTAGAAGCAGCAGCCTAGAATATAATATGGTTAAAGCAAAGTTATGCAAACTGTATTTCAGATTAATCTGCTCACACTGTGTGTGTGTCTGTGTGTGTGTGTGTGTCTGTCTGTCTGTCTGTCTGTCTGTGTCTCTGTCTGTCTGTCTGTCTGTGTCTCTGTCTGTCTGTCTGTCTGTGTCTCTGTCTGTCTGTCTGTCTGTGTCTCTGTCTGTCTGTCTGTCTGTGTCTCTGTCTGTCTGTCTGTCTGTCTGTCTGCTGGTCTGTCTTCTGTCAGTCCATCTATCTGAGATGGAAACTAGGGCCTTACAAATGCCAGGCAAGTGTTCTATCCCTAAACTATACCCCATGCTTCTTGTTTCCCTAGTGCCCTAACTATCTGTTCTAAGCTCTAGGGCTACGACGAGCTGGGAGAAGCAGTGGTGACAATTCTGATCTTACTATGCCCCACACAGAGGGACCACCAGCTTCACCAAGATGGAAAACTCTGGGAGCACAAACATGAGTAGAAGCTGCCATAGTTCTGAGGCCTGACAAGCCTTTCAGAAAATTAGTTGTCCGTGTGTGGCTTTACAAAGTTGTAGAAACTACATGGAATCTGGTTGTAGCTGGATTGCCCAGCACTCTGCAGATGGGAAGAGCAGGGAATGGCTAGATTTCAGAGCCACCTTTCAGTGCAGGTGTGCCTGAAATCTTGAAGAACTGAAACAACAGACAGAAGGCCATTTTAACTGTTATTTTGTTAAGTTGTGATACTTTGGTGTTTTATACACATTCTAAACACGTAAGAGAAATGAGAGGGATTATGTAGTTAGTAGTGATTTTCAAAGATTTCACTGACATCTGAGTTATGAAAGTCAGCAGGCGTGCTTTGTTAGCTGATGTAGCTTCCTTTTTGTTTTTTCTCAGTGTCAGCTTTTGTGTGGTCTCTTTCGTCAGAGTCACACTTTTTTTTTTTTTTATCATTTCTCTTTATTATGATACTTTTGGAAAGTCTGGCTTGGTGACATGTGCTTTCAGTCCTAGCAGCTGAAGGCTAAGGCAGGATGATAATGAGTTCAAGACCATCGTGGGCTATCTACCAAGATCCTGTCTCAATACACCAAAAAAGAAAAAGAAAAAATGCTGCAGATACTATTTGGTGTTAGAACAGTTGCCTGTTACACACAAGACTCTAGGTTCAATCCTGAGGTGGTTCTCCTACCCCCAGGTAAATACAAACAAAAATATTGGAGAAAGTCTTTCCCTTTTGGCTGGGTTCACACTACCTATAAGCTCAGGAAGGAGTCAGAGTCTGGAGAATAGACACAAGATTCAGGCCAGGTAGGGCTACATAATAGAACCTTGTTTAAACATGTTCCCTCCTACACTTTCTGAGTTGTGGGAGCACTTGCATCATAATTCATATTAAAAGTAGTAGCTTCCTTGGCCTAGGATCTGTGGCTTTGTTCTTTCTTCACTCTCCCATGGATCTCCTTTCTGTGCTTGCTGTCCCCGCTTCCTGGTTAACTGTATGTCCCAAGTCACACAATCCCAAAACACAAAGGGAAGGTTAAAGGAAGCCAGGTACACTTTGTTGAAGAAAACAGGAAATGTATATTTCTGAAATAGTTCCATTCTAGATAGTTAATAAAGAGAAAACCAATAATCTTGTACTTAAAGAGGTTTAAATCAGCTACCTAAAATCTTGATTTCTGTTAGACTGTCCCATCAACCAGAAGTCTAACTGGTTGCATATTGGTGTGCTTATATTTTAATGACTGGCGTAAGACACTGATCAAAGCATTGCATTTTTTTATGTTCCTGGAAAAGTTGTAAAAACTTGTTAAGTGCCGAGATTTAAAGCCTGTGCCACCACACTTGAGCTTGCCTTTATAAAACAGGGCCTCATTGTATAACTCTGCTGGTCTTGAACTGTATAGATCCTGGTGTTTTAGCTCAATTCTGAATAATTTTGAAAACCAAAAATACATCCAATGTCCCACTCTGTCATAGTTAAAAAACTTAGCATGGGATTTGGGTTGTCACAGACCATGTCACAAAGTTATTTTTTAAGCTATGTCTTCACTTGCAGCTAATATGTTTTATATTCACATAACTTTCTGGCTGTAAAGTTTGAAATTTGCTCTGATTTCTTTCTGCAAATTAGCATTTTGGTCATGTTAAAAGACATTTGTGTCTTATACTTTGCTTTATCAGGTTATCCTGGGGCACTATAATTGGCTTTCCTATGAAGATGTCTTCATTAGAGCCCTTGACTTTGGAAATGGGTTGCAGATGTTGGGTCAGAAACCGAAGACCAACATAGCCATCTTCTGTGAGACCCGGGCTGAGTGGATGATTGCTGCGCAGGCATGCTTCATGTATAACTTCCAGCGTATGTATGAGCGACACTTTTTAAAATAGTACTTCTTTCTTTCTTGTTCTTTTGTTTTTGAGGCAGAGTCCCTACAGAGTCCCTGCTACCCTGGAACTCACTATGAGGTCACCAGGCTGATCTCAAACTCAAAGATCCACCCGTTTTTTGCCTGCCGAGTGAGTGCTGGGATTAGAGGTGTTTGCCACCACACTTAGCCCTAAAATAATATTTAAGAAGGTTAACATTCTGATCCTACGTAGTGGAGAGGTGTTTATTAGGGCTCAGACATTTATTTATTTGTTTGCCTATTTGGAAAAAGAATCAGTTTGGGAAGAATCCCTGCTAGTCAAATATTAAGGGATCTTTATGCATCTGGAAAACTAGACATAACTTACAGGTCCCTACTATCTCTCAGGGTCCTTTTTGAACCTACTGCCCTTTTGTTAATCCACTTCTGCTAGTAGCTACAGTTAATCTGTAGAATACACCTCTGTCGTAACTTGGTGGACTTCTAAATATTAGGTTATGTGATAGAGAATCTTCATATTGCTCAAGTTATTCAATGGTGATCATGGTGACTAACCCTGCAAAACAGTTCTGGAAGGTCTGTTGGGAGGTCTTAGTGTCAAATGTCATGGTAGATGAGCATGAAACAAAAATGATACTTCCAACAGACTTCTTGTTATAAATTCCTTTATTTTTCTTTCCTTCCCCTTTTAAAAGAGTTATTTTATGTGATTGGTACATGCATTGCTCATGGAGGCCAGAAGAAAACACTGGATTCCTTTGGAACTGGAGTTATAGATGGTTGTTAGCTACCATGTAGGTGCTGGGAATTGAACTTGGGCTTTCTGCAAGAAGAGCAAGTACTCTTAACCACTGAGCCATCTCTTCAGCTATCCCCCATTTTCTTTCTTTAGTTGAGAAAGGGTGTCGTGTTTATCCCTGGCTGGCCTCGGGAGCACACTGGCTTTGAACCCTGCTTGGGATTAAAGACCGCCACACCCAGCTTACTCTTGCTTTGTAAAATAGGGACTGCCTTTTTGTTTTCAAGGTTTGAGTTTACATTTCTTCTGAAAATATTTTGAAAGGATTATTCTCAAAATCATTTCACTTCTGTTACCAGTTATATGGAAAGTAAATAAAAACAAATTCATGTTGTATATATTATGTGATTTCAGTGTTCCTAAAAATTTTTTTTTTTTTTTTGATTTTTGGAATTTAGAATGAGCTGTATCACTCATGAATACTATTTTCCTTTTTCTTAATTTTTGTTTTTTTGAGTCAGGGTCTCATGTAGTTATCAAACTCACTGTGTAACGGAGGGTGACCTCAAGTCTCTACTTGTTCACTTGTGAAGAAGTAGAGACTGGAGGATTATAGGTGTCATAACTACTCCTGACTTGTGTTATTTTGTTGACATGTGATACTTAAAATCTGACATTCAATGTGCTATCTTACTGGCTTGTCCATTGGTTTTCAACCTGTGGGTGGAAGGACCCTTTCTCAGGGGTTGCATAAGACTTTACACACATATTTGCATTATGACTCATAACAGTAGCAAAATTACAGTTATGAAGTAGCAATGAAAATAATTTTATGGTTGGGGGTTACCACAGCATGAGAAACTGTACTAAAGGGTCACATCACAGCATTAGGACGGTTGAGAACTACTGGACTTGTCTCTTTTCACATTTAGTTCTGAGCAGCCAACAAGGAAGATTTTGACATTCTAGGATCAGGTGTAATTCCTTTGTGTTATGTTAGTCCTAATGATGTGAAGGTGAAGCAAGCATAGAGGAAGGCGAGTAGGTAGGGTGCTGAGCAATAAAGTGGAGTGATGGACAGAGCCTCAGTAGTTTCTCACGGGCTGTGTGTGCAAGCACTCCTTCGTGATTCCAGCATACTCTACACGTGCTGCTGTCTAATAACTGTGCCCTTTTAAACATGTAACCTGTGTTCTTTTCCTTGTAGTCGTTACCCTGTATGCTACCCTGGGAGGTCCAGCCATTGTTCACGGACTAAATGAGACAGAGGTGACCAACATCATTACTAGTAAAGAACTCTTGCAAACAAAGCTGAAGGTGAGGACTGCAGTTAACTCTAGGTGTATAATGCTTTGACTTTGCTTTGACGAGTCATATCGATCCTTAGTTATCTTTGTGAGATTTTGCTCTTTTTCTTTAGAACATAAAAGTGAGTTAGGAAATTGTTAAAAAAAAAAAACATTTTTACTATGCTAGTGTCCATTGAAAGGGACGACAACTTTATTGTGTTTTTATAGTGAATGTAGAGTAAATTAATATTTTTGAATGTATATTTTGAAATTGTGTTTTTGTGATTTTGTGCTTGCATATTTATGGTCACACGTGTCATGACACACCTCAGAACAAATCAGGACAGCTGTGGTGATTTCCCTGCAGGCTTTACAACAGGCAGGGGGAAAAAAAAAACAATCCATGAAGAGATAAGAATGAAATTCATCTCTGCCCGATTTTATTATTACCAGTGCTGGACCAGGAAGGACTTCTAGAGTCTGGCCCAGATCGTTTGACTTTAGCCATATTTAAGCACTGACCAATTTTTGAAAAATGTATTTAGATAACTCAGTCCCAACAGCAATTTAAGACATGTTTACATTGAGATTCCTTACAAAGTACATCTGGCTTCTTTCACAAGAATGGGGACTGTTGACTCAGGTTTAGTGCCCAAGATTTAGGGTCTAGGGAGCTTGACTGAGGTAAACATAATAATGCCTATGGGGTCAGTATTGGCCTGGCCCTAAGATAACATAGAAGTCACTTAGCTGTTTAAAGCACAAGTGACCTTACTCATAAGAATGGGGTTTATGATATAAAAACAGTGTTCAATATTTAGGGGAAAAGGTCTTGGGATAAGTAAAAACTTAAATTCTGGGAGACATGGGCAGAGTCTGTCTCATCAGACAGCAAAGGATCACCAGGTTGTTAGCACTACCACATTCCTAGTGTTCCAGGAAGGAGCAACTATGTACCTCATTCCATTCAAGAGGTGAGCTGTGTGCTTAACTTGGCTTCTCCAGTATTTATCTGTGTGCACAAGGCCTTTTTGCCCTCTCCAGGTAACCTGTAGGAGTCAACTCTCCCTCTGTTCATCATGCGTTTCCTTGTGGGTTTTGTTGAATTCAGGCCATCGGGCTTGGTGGCAAATGCACTTACTTCCTGAGCTGTTTTGCTGGTCCCTCAACATTTTATGTTTATTTTATGTGGATAGGTGCTTTGCCTGAACGCATGCATATTACCATGTAGGTCAAGTGAAATGCTTGCCTTTGTAAGCACAAGGACCTGACTTGGATTCCCAGAACTTTTATAATAGAAGTTCCAGGCCAGAGCATCCTGTGGGGGAAGGCTTGGAGAGCACACACAAATGTGCATTGGCACCCTCATGCCTGTACACAAATCTCAGCATTGGGAGATGGAAGTAGGAAGATCAGTAGTTCAAAGTCATCCTTGGCTACCTAATACGATTGAGGCATGAGATTTTATCTCCTGAATGGAAGGAAGGAACGAAGAGAAGGAAAAGAGAGTGAAGTGAGGAGGGAGGGAAAGAGAGAAGAGAGGAGAGAGAGGGAGGGGTGCCAAGAAGTGTACAAGGAGGCCAGAAAAGGGCATTGGATTCCCTGGAACTGGAGTTACTGGCGATTGTAAAGCTGTTGTATGTGTGCTCTTAACCACTTTCCAGACTGCTGAATATTTGAAATTCATTCATGAATCACTGAGTAATGATTTAAAATGAAGATTTCAAGTACTAAAATGGGAGGCAATTTATGAAATATTAGAAAAAGGATTCTTGTAATTTCTAGGCAATTGTCCCTGAAAACATTACAATCTCAGGCATTCTTTTTTAATAAATTTACAGGTGGATTTTCTCCCTTCCCCCATTATGTTCTTGAGGAACTTTTGGCTTTCCCTCTATGTAGTTTTGTATTTATATGTCCATTTTGTGGAGCAATAACTTTGTTGATAAGGATTTTATCAAAGAACAGAGTATACATAATACTATAGTATAGTGAGTGCAACCCCCTCTTCCCCATGCCTCCCTCCCTCCCTCCCTCCCTCTGCCAACCCCACCACTTACCTTTTTTGGGGCAAGAAATCACTCAGTGTGGTGTCTTGTGTGACACTCTTATGTGTCTTAGATTAGTCGCTCAAACTTGGTTAACAGATTGTGGTGAATCTGTTTCTTCAGGATATAGTCTCGTTGGTCCCACGTCTGCGCCATATCATTACTGTTGATGGGAAGCCTCCAACATGGTCTGAGTTCCCCAAGGGTGTCATTGTACACACCATGACTGCAGTGCAGGCTCTCGGAGTGAAGGCCAGCGTGGGTATGTTGTGTGGTCATTTTTCTGACATATGTGCTCTCTCTTCTCACCTTGTTCTCTAGAACTAACCAGAGGTTTAATCCTGGAGTTAGCTCCCAAGACACATCCGTTTTCTAGACTGTCAACTGTAGAGATGAGTTCTTCTACAAATACTTTTATTTAGCCTTTAAAGAAAGACTTAAGGAAAATACCAACATTTATTTATCATTGCTCTTTAAGTATGGGCTAGGAATGTAGCTCAATTGGCAGAGTGTTTGCCTAGCATGCTCTAAGTCCTGGATTTGATCCCCAGCATTGAGTTAACTGGACAGTGTGGCACGTGCCTGTTATCTCAGCACCCGAGAGGTGGAAGCAGGCGAATCAAAAATTGAAGGTCATTATTGACTGAATAGCTAGTTCAAGGCCAAACTGGGCTACATGAGACTCAACTTAAAAAACAACATTGGTAACAATAACCAAAAAATGGTAGTGTTTAGATTTACTGTCCCTGCAGAATGCTGGGCTGCTGCAGTTGTATTTCCTCTGTAGTGGGAAATTTGGAGATTCTGCTTAGGGAAAGGATTATGCTGACAATACCCAATAACAGAGATGATAATGCTTGAGCATGTTGAGTTTTAGGTGTTGGTAGGTTCTTAGAATGTTGGCCATGAGGTCTAGTTAGAGAAAAAAAAATATGTGGCGTGTGGTTCATTGTTAAGAAATTGTCTAGACAGTTAGGAGAGAAGGGGATCATGCTAGAAGAACATTTTCCTTAGAAATCTACATGTGCATTAGTTTTGGATGAATTTAGGCAGCTGGATTGTGCTGATGTCATCTATTTGTGTCCTGTGCCTTTTCTGTAGCATGTTGACAGCTGTCCTTAGTCTTGTAATCTTGTGACCAAAAACAGGCAACACAACAGTGTTGAGTATAACCAACAAAGTCAGTTCATGCAGCAGAAAATGTTTTAGTAGTAAGTTTGTAGGTATCTTAGCTTGAGCCCCCTTTATGTTTTAAATTACTAGAGTAGATTTTGGCTTCTCAATTCCTTTATTCCGTTTTCAATTTATGTGGCCACCCAGCAGCCAAAGTTACATAGCTCCAAAGTCATTTTTGCCACACATAATGGCCTGCTGCTGTTGAAAACTGCCTTTCTTTTGCAGAGTGACAAAATGCAGTTCTCAGTGTGCCCTCTGAGGCTGCTTGAGGTCATGGTTGCTGCTCCACTGTTACTTATGTTCACTCCAGTCTCACCATATCCCTTGTCTTTGTAGATGCTAAGCACATTGCCACTTTAAGGCTTTTGTATTGTGTTACTACTACTTCCTTTTTATTTTCTGGTTTTGAAACAGAATAGGGTCATTCTAAAATGGCCCAGAGCTTTCCTTGTGGCCTAGGCTGGCTTTGACCTCAAGATCTCATTTTAGTGTCCTGAGTGCTGGAATTGCAGACATCTGCTAGCATGCCCGCTGCTTGCTTTTACTTCTACTTGAAATACTGGCTGCCTGGTCCCAGGACTTTGGTGGCTACTTTGCTCACTTTATTTAGGTTTTTGCTAAAATACTCTTCAGAGATACTTTCTCAGACTGCTGTATTGAAGCAGCATTTATAATTATCTCACTTGGTCATTATTTTTCTTTGTAGCTTATATCATATTATGGATTTAACCTGTTTGTCCCAGTATTGTTTATGTCTCCTTATGTATTGCCTGTTTGAGTATTTTGGTTGAATTGTATAAATGAGTGAGAAGAAAATTGGTGATGTATCTGAATTCCTCAGAAGTGTGTTTTTCTCTTTTCTTCAATATAGAAAACAAAGCTCACAGCAAACCATTGCCTTCAGACATTGCAGTAATCATGTATACAAGTGGGTCCACAGGAATTCCAAAAGGAGTCATGATCTCCCACAGCAACATCATTGCTGCTATAACTGGGATGGCGAGAAGGATTCCAAGTCTGGGGTATGTCATGGTAAAATGCAGAGTAACTTTGTGTTTGTACCTGTTAGAGCACAAACACTTGTTCCATTTTAGTACATGGCTAAGTTATTCCCAAGTGTCTATGAAAGTATACACTTCAGAGAACATTAATTAAAAAGTCACACTTTTAAAAAGATATATTTTAAAGTGTGTGCATGTGCACGGGTCTCCCCATCTCTGCTCATAAAACTGTAGAGACAAGAGTATCAGATCCCCCTGGAGCTGGAGATGTGAGTGCCCAGCACAGGTGCTGAGAACCGGACTGAGGTAGCATGAGTTGTTCACTGCTGAGCCATCTCTCCAGCCTCTCAAAATAGTTACATGCATGTTATTTTTAAAATGGTAGTTCAATGGCTTAATATTTTAAAGATGCAAGTTTAACTGACTGTAGTTTTAAATACCTTAAATTTAAATTATTTCAGTCAGTTTGTATTGCTTCCTTATGGACATAGTCATTTTTATATGTTAAGTGCAGTCTTGGTGGACAGAAAGGTATTATTTGTCAGCTAGTGGGATTTTGAAGTTTTACTCTTGGGATCTCAGGGAGAGTATAGTGGAATAGGCAAAAGACAAACAAACAAAACAACAACAAAACGATAGAAGAAACCAGATGGGATGAGAGGAGTTAAGAACTTGAGAGATGAAGTCATTATTATGTTGACTGAGCTGGCCCACTACACTGCCATTTTTATTGCATTTATGTACAGGCACACATACATTTAGACACATGTGGTTAGCTGTGGGACTAAGTTGGGGATCAGAATTGGGAAACCTGAGCAGCACTTTCCCTTTGGACTTTTTCTTTGTTGCTCTTAATGCTGTAGATGCAGGGCCATTTCTTGAAAAATACAACTCCTAGAGCAGGCATCTGTTCTATGAGAGTCATAGTAGATGACCACTTACTCTAAAGGGCATCTCCTACGGTGTCCTCCTAAGCCCAGCACTATTCTCTTTTGCCTTAGTACTTGCTTCTGCAACAGAACACATTCTCTTTGTTTTTGTATTGAACTGTAGTTTTGTTTCTGTCTCCTATGTATCCTATCAACAGGGAACTCCTATTGGTGCATAGTTATTCCTCCATGTGTCTGGACATCTGCTGTAGTGACTTGGCAGAGAGCTCCCATGAATGACCCTTGCTTTTATGTGTCATTTCTTTCAGAGAGGAAGATGTATACATTGGATATTTGCCCCTAGCCCATGTTCTAGAATTAAGTGCCGAGCTTGTGTGTCTTTCTCATGGATGCCGAATTGGCTACTCTTCACCACAAACTTTAGCAGATCAGGTAAGTTTATCATATAAAAACATTGAAAGGATAAGCTTATCATATGCTTTTGAGCTAAGAATGCCATTAAGTTTTTAAGTTAAATAATTTTTTTTCAAGACAGGCTTTCTTTGTGTACCCTTGATTTCCTGGAACTCACTCTAGATCAGACTGGCCTTGAACTCACAGAGATCAGACTGCCTTTATTGAGGGCTAGGATGATTGTCCGGCTTAAGTTAAAGATCTTTATATAGGTTACTTTTTTTTTTTTTTAATCTTTTGTAGTCTTCAAAAATAAAAAAAGGAAGCAAAGGAGACACATCTATGTTGAAGCCAACACTGATGGCAGCTGTTCCGGTAAGATTTGCCTGTTAATATTGAACATTCAAGATATGTTGTCAGCCACAGGTGATGGAGTGGTAATACCACTCTAAAACTAATTGTGATTCTACTTAAAAATTTTTAGTCTGATGGAATTTCTCTGTAAAATAATGTATTTTCTTGGCAGTGAGTTAGCTGAGTGGTAAAATGCTTGTTATACCAGTCTGGTGGAAGGAGAGACTCCATGTAGTTATCCTCTGACCTCCACATATGCAGCATGCATGGCACGTGCACCCCAAAACTGCCCTACATCTTATATATGATAATTAGAAGTAGTAATCATATGGGTATGACTTAAAATGAAGAATGCTCTAATAATTAATGAACTTATTTGTATGTCTAGGAAATCATGGATCGGATCTACAAAAATGTCATGACTAAAGTGAATGAAATGAGTAGTTTTCAACGAAACTTGTTTATTTTGGCCTATAATTACAAGATGGAACAGATTTCAAAAGGGTGTACTACTCCCCTGTGTGACCGGTGAGTAAAGCCAGTTCTCTGTTAATGGCAGTACACATCAACAGCCCAGGTTAGTGAGGCATAGGTAGTGCATTTAGTTTGCCATGGGGGTGTGGCACAGGCCTGAAATCCCTTCGTGTGGGAAGTAAGAGAGGAGGATTCTGTGTCCAAGGCTGGGGGCTGCAGAGGTGGTTCAGGGTTATGCAGAAAGGATGTGTGAGCTGAACACCAGCACCCGCTTCTGGCTTCTGTATGTAGGGTCACACATAATCTTTAAAAAAGTCCAAGGCCAGCCTGGGCTCCATCGCAAATTCCAGAACGCTTTGGGCTGTGTAGTAAGAAATTAATTTGAAAAGTCAAAGGGACTACCAACAATCTATGCTACATAAGAACTGGGAATTTTTCAGTTATCATTTTGCTGTGCTTAATATTTTACTTCCATCTTTATTTATTTATTTTGAGACAGGATTTTTCTGTGTAACTGCCCTGGCTATCCTGGAATTCTCTCTTTTTAAAGTTTTAAAAGATTGTCCTTCCCCTTCACCTATATTTTTGTGGTGTTAACAAAATAGTACCAAATAGTTTGAAAATTATAAAGTGAAAGTATGTTTTTTTCTTTGTTTGTTTTTAGACAGGGTTCCTCTGTGTAGTCCTGGCTGTCCTGGAACTTACTTTGTAGACTAAGACTGGCCTTGAACTGAGAGAGATCCCCTTGCTGCTACCTTCCAAGTGCTGGGATTAAAGGCGTGTGCCACCACTACCTACTATATGTTTAATTTTTTAAGGGAATATAAACATAGTTTTCAGATGCTTTACATTAACTTTTTAAAGATTTATCTATTTTAGGGCAGATATGTAGGTTGATAACGAAAAGTATAATGTTTTTCTTTGTGAAGATAGGGTCTCCCTTCTGACTGCTAAGGTTAAGAGACTGGATATGTAGCTCAATTGGCAGTGCATCAGCCTTCACATCCAGCCTTTCTACAACTTCATCCTTTTCAAAATGTTTGGCAAACTTCTGTTTCCACAGCTATGAAGGCTAACCCCAGAGTCGGCTTCTCGGGAGTGAGCAGCACCACTAAGCTGCATTCCCAGCTAGGCCTCTCAACTTTTACTTGAGTTATAAGCAATCTTTTGTTTTTTTCCATTCATTTATTTAGTTCATAAATAAAGTCAGGGATATGACCTTTATTGAGCTTATCCTTCAGAATGGAAATAATGTCTGTACAAAACCAAATGTTTGTTATTATAGCTCCTGCATCATAATTAAAATCCAAACAGTTTTTTCTAGCAAGTCCATTGTTAAATAAGCAATCTATTTCCTTTTTCAGAAACATATCAGGTATATATTTGAAAATACTTTCCTTTTAAAATTTTTCCCAGATAATTTGTTATATTTTTACAACTGTAATAAACATCTCAAAGCTTGAATTAGATTTTTAAAAAGAGATTGCTGTATATAAAATATGCATAAATCCCTAATGAATAAATACAAGCAGAAAATTAATTTGCTTTTAATAAATTATTTGAAGATGTGGTATGCATTTACAATAAATTCTCTGATCATAAAAAGGGAAATATTTTACTATAAACTAATATGCCAATTTTATATTTGAATATTACATAGAAAATAACAGAGAGGAAATGACATTTTCTTATCTGGTTGTAATGCTGATATGTAAGACAGAAAGTATGGCTCAAGATAATCTCCTGGATTGGCCGTATCACTTGATGTTAATTAATCTCAATCTCCATATAGCAAAACAGAGATTATTATGTATACAACATTCTCCTTCCACGTACAGCTGCACACCAGAAGAGGGCACTAGATCTTATAAGGATGGTTGTTAGCCACCGTTTGGTTGCTGGGAATTGAACTCAGGACCTCTGGAACAGCAGTCAGTGCTCTTAACCTCTGAGCCATCTCTCCAGCCCTAGTTACTTTTCTATTGATGTCAAGAGGCACCATGACCAAGGCAGTTTATAAAAGGAAGCATTTAATTGGGGGCTTGCTTATAGCTTTAGAGGGTTTACTCCATGGCCATCATGGCAAGGAGCATGACTGCAGACAGGCACCCCACTTGCCACTGGAACAGTAGCTGAAAGCTTACATCCTAATCTGAAGGCAAGGTAGAGGAGCCAACTGGGAATGGTGCTGGCTTTTGAAAACTCAAAGCCTACTCATTAGTGACACCCATCTTCCAAAAAGAGCACACCTACTAATCCTTCCTAATCAGTTCCAATAACTGGGAACCAAACTTTCAAGTATGTACATCCCATTTTTCACTCAAACTACCACTCTGTTTTTCTGTTGATGTTTTTAGCTTTGTTTTCCGGAATGTTCGAAGGCTGCTGGGTGGAAATATTCGCCTTTTATTGTGTGGTGGTGCTCCACTTTCTGCAACAACACAGCGATTCATGAATATCTGTTTCTGCTGTCCCGTTGGTCAGGGGTATGGACTCACAGAATCTACTGGGGCTGGGACCATTACAGAAGGTAGGTGCTATCATGTGAGATGTCCCCCTTGTGCCTGTCAGAGTAATCAAGGTTTCTAGGTTTTAAATGATATTAAAAACTGAATAATCTGGGAAAGAAGTTTTGCAAGAAGCACTATTTTGCACATTTATTTTGTCCCAGAAGCCTATTTTTTTTTTCTTTTTTCTTTTCCTGGTCATTTAGGTACCAAAGTTCAGATTTAGAAGTGTTTATGGGATTATATATGTGTAGAGAGTAACTGGAGTCAGGTATAGACATTGTGACTGCTGGAGCTTGACCCAGTGAGGTGGTAAGTGGTGTGGAGGGGATCCACTTCCATCAGTGCTTCATGGGGACCCTGTAGAAGAGATGTTTTGTGTCCCAGCACTGGAAAAACCAATGCTTGTACTTGTTTTCTAGATAACTCGGACACTAACTACACTTGTCAACTGAGCATTTCTTGGGTCTGTCCAGAGTGCTTCCATGTGCCACTCTGCTAATTTTGCATTACTTCTTCATCTCCCTGCTCTTAGTATGGTCTTTGTGTTTTGACGGCTTTTTATAAGTTGTGTTTGCAAGGAAACAATTGCAAATGCATGTATATATGGCGGGAAATTACCAATACGGAGCCAAGTAGAGATACAAGAGATTTTTTATTTTTTTGGTTTTTCGAGGACAGGGTTTCTCTGTGTAGCTTTGGAGCCTATCCTGACACTCGCTTTGGAGACCAGGCTGGCCTCTGCCTCCCGAGTGCTGGTGTGCGCCACCAACGCCCGGCCTGATACAAGGGATTTTAATAGGGAAAAAGCCTTACTTAGAGAGCGACCTAGCCAGCCGGTGGGTAGCAGTCTGTACAGTAAACCGAAAGTGAAACCAGAAACCAGAAACCAGAAACCAGCCACTTGACCAACTCTCACTCTGTGTCACCCTGAGCATGCCTAAGCAGGCATGGCTACAGCTTCCCCTACATGTATATGTAATTTCTTCTTTGAATCCTTATTTTTCTTTCAGCTAGGATCCCACTTAGTAGCCTGGGCTGGCTTAGTTTCATAACAATCTTTTTATCTTAGTCTCCTCAATGATGAAATTACAGGTGTGAGCTGCCATATGTGGCATAAATAAGACTTCATGTGTTAAATATCAATCTTTTATTTCTGGTATTTGGCTGATCTTTGAAGAAGACTCACAGCATACTAATAATCCATCATTCTGGGGTGCTGTTCTTAGATCCTGAGAGCGAGCAGTTTTCAGCTGTAACTGTATGAATCTTAAGTGTAGGGTATGATAGCTGAAGGTGATGTGAGGGATGTAACAGCCTTGAAATAGTGATCTGGAGGAAGATGGGTGAGGTGGTCAGCAGTACAGTACTCTAAGACCTAACAAGGGAGTAGACTAGGTGTCATCTGCTGTGCTCCACTGTCCTATAAGGTAGGGGCTGTCAGGTTATGAAGGAGGCATCCACTTACGTGAGTGAGCTGGGTCCTAATGTGAGGATGTGAGGGGCAGAGATTCCTGATGAGTTAGAGTAGGCATGCCTGATTTCACAGGACTCTCAGTTGCTAGTGCCGACTCCAAAGCATTTAAAACTTTCTTTTCCAATTGCTGTAACAGGTCTCTCTAAGAGAAGGCTATGCCTATGTACCTGGGTGTGTTTTACTTCCTGAAGGCCTCTCTTTCTTGTAACTCTTGCTTAAAATCTATCAAAAAATGCCTTTAATAAACCCCACACCCTGATTCATGAACATAACAAGTGAAATCAGTTTCAGTAATAATTAGGTTAAAAATGTTCTCTGACCAAGCAGTGTAAGGATTCTTTTGGGGATGGGGGCGGCTATCTGAGGTTTAGAATAATGGTCATTTTAAATCTTTTTCTTCCTTTGTCTTTTAGTGTGGGACTACAATACCGGCAGAGTGGGAGCACCATTAGTTTGCTGTGAAATCAAATTAAAGAACTGGGAGGAAGGTAACAGCTTATTTTAGTCCCAGAACATTCACTTTTATAAGATCACAATGAGAAATGTATTGTATTTCCTTTTGTTGCATATTTTAGAATGCAAAATTCTAAGTTTACATTTTGTTGATTATATTACCTGTGTTTTATCTAGAGCTGAACAGATGTACTTAGTTTGAATGCTTCGGAATTGATTCTGAAGAATAGAATGATTTATATATATAATTTGTATGTGTATGTTCATGTGTGTGGAAGTTAGATATCAATGTTGAGTGTCATTCCTCAGGAGCCATGTCTTCCTTTTTTCTGAAACTAAGACTGGGTTGGCTGGGCTGGCTGTCTAGTGAGCCCCAGGAGTCTGTCTCTACCCCCTGAGTGCTGAGATGACAAGTCTATGTACTGTGCATGGCTTCTTCTCCTCTTCTTTTTTTAAAAATCTAGTATGAGTTTTGGCAATTGCCATCATGTCTTCTACTTGCATAGCAAGTTCTTTACTGATTGATCAGTCTCCCTAGTCTCTTGCTTCTCATTTTAGTGAATAAATTACATAAAGTAAAAATGATAGCAGAAATTTGACAAATGTGCTAAGTGAATAGTGTTACTAAGTTAGGAGGGCCAACAAAGATGATTCATCAGGTATAGGCATTTGTCTCTGGTTCTCAAGACCGGAGTTCAATCCTTAGAACCCACGTGGCTGTAAAATGGAATTATTGACAAAGTTGTTCTCTGACCATTACACATGCTATAATGTGTGCATGCTTTTTTGCATATGTGTGTGCTCAAATACACACATGCGCTTGCGCGTGTGCATGCATGCGCACATACACCTTTTTTGCATATGTGTGTGCTCAAATACACACATGCGCTTGCGCGTGTGATGCATGCGCACATACACATGCACATGCATGCACACACTGGAAGGGTGGATGGAGAAAGGAGAAGAATAAATGTAATAAAAGTATAGTCGTAATTTCACTTTGTAGAATAAAAAAAAATCATTTATTCCACATGGATTTTTATATTTTTCCTTTTCCTCGGGGGCTTCAAACAAAGTTGAAGGAAAAAAATTGTACTGTAATTCTATAAATTTATTTGTTTAAAAATAAAAATCACTGTAAAAATGTTTGTTTCAAAGCATACAGATTATTGATTTATTGAGACATACCTTTCCTTTTAAAAGATTCTAAGGCTCTGTTAAAATGTTTCATCTGTTTTTTGCAGAAGTTAGAAAAATATTCAATAAAATGTAAGCTTAGAGTTGGTCTGAAATTATCTGAAAGAACAAACTTCTAAGTATATAATAGTGTGATTTTTATGAAGGGGTTTGTTTTCTTAATATTTGACCGCTCTTTTTATCATTTAGCTAGCATCATGGTATATGGACTGAGTAGAAACTTTGTAATTATTTTACATAATAGATAGAGGATGCTGGAATTTAGAATGTACTTTTTGTCTTGGAGTAGTAGCTTAAAAGCATGGATGCTCATTGAACAACTGAAAGCTGTCTCTGGCTTATTGATAATATTTAGGCACAGTGTCTACCACTTAATTTCCCTTGAGGACTCTATTTGATTGAAGTAAGATCTATACTTAGAAACTAACAGTTTTGAATTTTTATGTAATACCTACATGATTTATTTTGTGTTTATTAGGTGGCTATTTTAATACTGACAAACCACATCCCAGAGGTGAAATTCTTATTGGTGGCCAAAATGTGACAATGGGGTACTACAAAAATGAAGCAAAAACAAATACTGATTTCTTTGAAGATGAAAATGGACAGCGGTGGCTCTGCACGGGAGATATTGGAGAGTTTGACCCTGATGGTTGTCTGAAGATTATTGGTGAGCCATTTAGTCCTTTTTTTTAATTTTATTTTAGAATTATGTGTATGACTGTTTTGCCTACATGTATGTATATGCACTACATGTGTGTATGATATCCATTGGGGTTAGGAGAGGGTATCAGATCCTCTGGAACTGGAGTTACAGATGGTTGTGAGTCACCATGTGGGTGCTGGGAATTAAACCCATGTCCTCTGCCACAGCAGTACATGATCTTAAAAGCTGAGCCATCTCTCCAGCCCTTGAATCCTTTCTTGAAAGCATTTCCCAAATGACTTTACAGAGAGGTGCCTGTGTTTACAGACACTGTTACTATTAGAGGAGAGCTCTTAGATCATTCCCCAAATACAACATTTTAAAGAGGGAGCCCTGTAGCCAGCCCCTAGGAGGTATAGTTAGGGTGCCCCCTTCAATTCCCCTTTTAGTCTAAAAGAGGATTAAAACTTAACAGTGTAAAGTATCCATAATTAATAATCATAAAGGTGAAATACAAGAAGATCCAATAATCTGCTTATGTCACATCTTAACTATGTCTTGAATGGATTGTATCCAGTCCACAACTTGATTGAAGTTCTTGAAGTCAGTACCCAAAGCTCTGGCTGGAGTGTCAGTTGAAAGGAAGGACAGCCAGCCCTTAGGAGGCTGGGGGCTGCAGAGCAAGTGTTCTTAAAGCTTGACATATTATGACATATTATGGATAAGGCTTTAAAAACTGTACAGCCACAGATTTGTAATCATTGTTAGTTAGTTACCATTAGTCATTCGACATGGTTTGTATAAAGACTGATACCATCAAAGTCTCATACTCAGAGTGCTCGAAGGAGTATGGGTAAGTGGATGAAAGATTACTTATCAAAACAGCAATGACTCAAAGGCAAGTGCATCACCAAAAGTCCACACCCCAGCATGAGTGAGCTCACAAATGCTGCAACTCATGAGCTTCCTGCATGACTTGCTGGCAGATTGGCAAGTTGAAGAGGTTTCTTGACAGCTTCAGTTGGTGTGAGCCTCTTCTGGGCAGCTTGGTTTCTCCGGGAGTCTCTCAGTAGCCTTTGCTGCTTATGTAAGCTTGGGGAGGGAGAAGTTTAGTGCTTCCGAGGAGTCTAGTTCATCAGGGACTCTAGAGCAGTGGTTCCCAGCCTTCCTAGTGTTGTGACCCTTTAATACAGCTCTTCAGGTTGTAGTGCTCCCCAAACAAAAAATTATTTCACTGCTGTTCTAATTTTGCTACTGTTGTGAATCATGATGTAGTCTTTTTGTTTTGTGTGTCTTTGTGGCTCCCTGGGAAAGGGGTTTTTTACCCCCCCCCCCCCCCCCCCCCCCCCCCAGTTGAAAACTGCTGTCCTAGAGCTTTTGCGTTATTTCCTAAGTGAGCTTACCTCTGATTCATGAAGCTGTTCCCTGCAGGATGGAAAGTTTCATTGAGGGGTTTATCTTGTAGGAAATTTGCTGCTCAATACCTGGTCATAACATGAAGGCCAGAGGGCATCAGAGGCTCCCTTTCCATCAGCTCTGAATCCCTGCTTCATGCACCGCTAATAGAGATGTGCCTTCCACTCTTGTAGGCCTGGTCTGTACCAGTTGCCACCCTCTCACAAAGATTTCCTTTCTGCCTCTATGTACCTCTCCAAACCTTTTTACTTCCATCAGGTGATGGTTGAGCCTCATTGTCCTAAAACATCTTCAATGGCTGCTAGAAGTTCAGTTCAAGGTGTTTATTTACCCCCTCATTGTCCTAAAACATCTTCAATGGCTGCTAGAAGTTCAGTTCAAGGGGTTTATTTATTAAACCATTATTCCACTCCCTGCCTCTTTTGAATTGTTTCCCTCCTCTTATGCTCCAGTGTTTTCACTGACATGGTCCCTGCCAGTGCTGTCCCACCTGGATTACTTCTTACTCTTGTCAATAAAACTCACCTCAGGCCCCACTTGCAAGAATTCCTTCCAAGTCCACAGGTTGGCTGTGCTGTGTGGATGTTGTTTTTGTGTTGCTCTGTTCTCTAGTTTGCCCATTGCCTCGCACAGCTGTTTTACCTGCTGGGTACTAGTGAGTGCCAGGAGCATATCAGCTCAGAATATATTGAAATTCTGAGGATGATGTTCTTTAAGTAAAACTTTTTCCACTAAAGGATTTAAATAAATCCTAATTGTAGAAAATTAGGATCTGATTTTATTATATAATCTCCACTTTAGGGCAACCATCAGTGTTTAAGTTGAGAAAAGTTTTAAATAACCTGGTGCCAGTATTTCTGTATGCTTAAGGTATTACCTACAATTCTCAATGCTTCTGCCTTTGTTCTGTGCAGATCGTAAAAAGGACCTTGTGAAACTGCAGGCAGGAGAGTATGTTTCTCTTGGGAAAGTAGAGGCAGCTTTGAAGAACCTCCCACTGATTGATAACATTTGTGCGTATGCAAACAGGTAAGCACGAGGAGTCTGCAGAGTGTGTAGAGGTTGGTGGGTGTGCATTAGCAGTTGCAGCCATATGGACCCCTGTGAAATCACTCTCAGAACTCTTGTGGCTTATGGGCCCGCTACCTCCCCTTTATAGCTAGTGATCTGGTGCTTCCCTGTGTTGTTCTCCTCTTCATCTTACTCTTTGTGTACTGCTTTGCTTCTCTCTGTAAGTGTCCTGAGTGAGAGTTTAGGAAAATAAATTCTTCTTCCTGCTGCCTGCCTGTCTGCACAGGAAAGCTTCACAGACCCAGACAGGCCCTTCTTCCTGTCCTTCTGACCTGCAGCTTGAGCATGCTTACTGCTGATCCTGGCTAACCACAGCCTCACAGCCCATGGTAACATTGGCAGCAGGGAATGGAAGTTTAAGTTTAGAAGCCTAGACTTGGGGTATTGGGGAATGTGGTGGAAGTAGAGATTAGACCTGACTCCATTTTCTGTAACAAAAGCTACAGAAATTGTAATGCAGTGATAATGACCGTTCTCCAGTGATGATGATCACTTGTTTGTGGGTAAGCCTAGAAACTCATCTGTGGCAGTTGACATTTTTATTTTTGGGTATCATAGGAAAATTGACTTAGAAGTAGCTGTCTTCCAAAATAATTAGGACAAGACATGTTTCAATCTGGAGATGTGGATTTTGTTGTTTAGAGGCAAGGTCTGTCTACATAGCCCTGACTGTCCTGGAACGCACTGTGTATCCAGGCCACCTTTGATCTGCTTGCCTCTGCCTCCCAAGTGCTGCTGAATTAAAGGCACCCACCACTGCACCCATTTCAAGATGGTGGATTTTAAAAATTGACCCTATGGTTTAATCAGCCATTTGTTGTCTTCAGCATTGTTCCATAGCTGGGTTTATTTGTTTAAGTATAAGTCCAGACCTGGTGGCCGTGGCGCACTCTTTAATGCCACCACTAGGGAAATAGACAGGTGGATCTCTGAATTCTAGGCCAGGTTGGTCTACAGAGTGAGTTCCAGGACAGCCAGAGCTACACAGAAAAACCCTGTCTCAAAAACACCCCCCCCCCCAAAAAAAAAAAAAAAAACAAAACCTAACAAACAAAAAAACCAAAAAACCTCCAAATGTTCTTTTCTTCATGATGCTATTATTTCTTTGGGTTCAGGCTGGCCTTTAATTCATGGCAGTCCTTCTGCCTTAGCCTCTCTAGTTCAGGGTCCACAGGCTTTCTACCCAGCAAGAACACCGTTTTATATTTTTCAAAACAATACCTGTCTTGGTGCATACTATTCCTTTGGTGGTGTAAATTTTTCATCAGAAGAAAATAAACGCCACCGCAGGTCTGTCTCCCTTCCTTTTGACTTTCTACTACATTTATTCAGGAACATAATTTATAGGTTTTACTTTTCTTACATTGTTTCCAATAATTTACTGATCATTTCAGAGAGTTGGAAAAAATGTAATTTTTCTTTAAAAAAATGTGCATTACTACTTATAATAGGCAAACTTAATGAGGTTTGCTTGCAGTGAACTCTTGTCAGAGCTCTCAATGTGCTAAGTGGTAAGAGGCATTGCATGATCTAAGTATGATGGTGATTTTTCTGTATGTTCCTAGTTTTTCCAATAGTAAAGAATTGATTATAGAATGCCAAGGTAATTGGTTACATTAGTAAGCATGGTGCGTGCTATTTTGGTCCTTTCTAAGTTATCCTTTCTGTGTTTCAGTTACCATTCTTACGTAATTGGATTTGTTGTGCCAAATCAAAAGGAACTCACGGAGCTAGCTAGAATGAAAGGATTTAAGGGGACCTGGGAAGAGCTGTGTAACAGCAGTGAAATGGAAAATGAAGTCCTTAAAGTGCTTTCTGAAGCTGCTATTTCAGGTGAGTGTTCTGGTAAACTGATTCTTAGAACTGCGATGTGAAAACAACATGCATTTATTTAACCTGTTATGCTATCAGGGCTAGAATGCAGCCTTTGCTTTCTTTGTTTCCACTATTATTCAGGCTCCTTTGTGGGACATTCAAATATTTGCTCCTACTGAACTGATTTTTTTTTTTTTTTGAGACAGGGTTTCTTTGTGTAGCTCTAGCTATCCTGAGACTTGCTCTGTAGATCAGGCTGGCCTCAGAGATCTGCCTACCTCTGCCTCCTGAGTGTTGGGGTTAAAGGTGTATGCCATTACTGCCTGGCTCTAAACTGATTTTTCAAAATAAATTTTAAAAATTTATAATTTTCTTTTAAAATGTGTACGTGACACTATTATTATAGTTATGTAATATGGAATTTATCAGTATCTTAGTTCTTTTCCTGTTTCTGTAATAAAATACCCTGTAAAAAGCAACTTAAGGGAAAGTCTGTTTTGGCTCACAATTCATCATGGTGGCAGAAAGCTTGAAGAAACTGCACATATTGCATCCGTAGTCAGGAAGCAGAGAGAGAGGTCAGTGTTGGTTTTCAACTAGCTTTCATCCTTTTTATGCTGCCTAGGGAATGGTACCTCTCAGAGTGGGCAGATCTTCCCACTCGAGTTAACCTAATCAGTGTAATCTCCTGTAGGCATTCTCAGAGGCCCATCGTCCAGGTAGTTCTAGATCTTATTAAGTTGACAGTATTAAGCACTGCAATCAGGAAGCACTAAGTTGGGATTTGTACTCTCTTGGCTGTTGTTATCCTTTTATTTAGCCTTTGTGTTCTGCCTCCTCCTTTTCTCTGCTTGCCTCTGCTGTTCCTTCAGAGCCATGCTATTTCTAGGGCTTGGGAAGGTCACTAGTACATTATAGGATATATGTCCTGTATCCTCTTTTTGTATTTTAAAGATTTCTATTAGTTTATGTTAGTTATATGTAATAACGCGTCTCATGACATTATCATACATGTATATAATGTATTTTGGCTTTATTCTTGTTATATTGTCTTTATTCCTCTTCTTCCTAGATAGCTCCTCTTCTGCTTTCTTTTTTGTATGGTGGGTGAGGTAATTAGGGCAACTTTGATAGGAGCTTGGGTGAGGGGCTGTTGTAGGAGCAGGAGCATCTTACAAGTGGCTGCACCACTGGAGAGTGGCTCCTGCTTTTGGCAAGTGTTCACAGCTGCCTGGAGGCCTGGTTTCTTTCTGTCAAAGACTGATAACCGTTTGTTCAGTAATAAGCATCTGTATCTAAGTGAAATACTAAATATAATACAAGCATTACCATTAAGACTTGTATACTAGGTCTGGAGAGATGGTTCAGCAGTTAAGAGTGCTTGCTGCTGCCTCAGGATGGAGGTGGTTCACGGCTCTAATGCATCTGACTTCTTTTTCTGGTATAGGGACTTGTACTCACATGCACTTACTCACACACAGACACACACAAATGAAAGCTAAAAAAAAACAAACAAACAAACAAAAAAAAACCACCCAGATACTGTTTACTTATTTTTACATGTAAAAAGTTTATGGCAATACAGTGAACATACCATACAGCTTGCTCATTTAATAGGTGTAATTATATCGTTTTAATATTCAGCAGCTTGCACAAATATTACCATAGTCAATTTACATCACCTCTACTTCTAGAAGTGAAATTTTCCATTTTCCTTCCTCCTTGGTTCTGCCCTGGAGGTTCATGGTGTAATGTGGTGTGTGTCCCTGTCCAGCCAGACTGTATGTGCTCTTGTCTAGTTAATGCTGAGTGCTGCACTTTTCCAGCTCAGTAATGGGTTGGATACCCACATAAATGCAGTTATTTTAATGACAGGACTGCCTTCCATTTTATACCAATATCATTTATTTAATTTATTCTCCTGTGGGTAAATGGTTTTTGCTATTACAGTTCTCATATGTCTCAAAAATGTGTCTGTCTGAGGCTATGCCGTGAGACCGACACTGAGGGGTTGCTTGTTGCTTTGGGTATTTGGTGGGTATGTCTCTAAGAGCCATACTGTTTGTTGAGAACTTTGACTGCGTTTCTAATGAGTGTGGGTTCTTACTGTTCTTTTGTTTTCATCATCTCAGCATGTCTGGAAAAATTTGAAATTCCACTGAAAATTCGTTTGAGCCCTGACCCATGGACTCCTGAAACTGGTCTGGTGACGGATGCCTTCAAGTTGAAACGCAAAGAGCTTAAAACACATTACCAGGCAGACATTGAACGGATGTATGGGAGAAAATGATTAGTTTGGCATTAGTTTGCTAAAGCGAGCTCAGATCAAATAGGAAAATACTTGAAATGTGTGTCTCAGGCCGAGGCAAACTCCATTCCTCATATTAAACCCCAGCTGTTACTTCTCACCACGTCACCATTTTTAACTGACAGGATTAGTAAAATATTAAGACAGCAAACTTGTGTCTGTCTGTTTCTTCCCCCCTCCTCCAGTTTGCTTTGGCATCTATGACTGTGTTTGTCAATAGGAGAATTTTTCTGAATCATACTGGGGAAGCAGTGATTTTAAACCTCAAGTTTTTAAACATGATTTATATGTTCTGTACAATTGTTCAGTTTGTAACTTTTTAAAGTTTGGATGTATAGAAGGATAAATAGGAAATATAAAAATTGGTTATTTGGGGGGCTTTTTTACTTATTGTATTTAAAAACAAGGGTATCAATGTGAAATTATGTAAATTTCAAATGCTTATGAATCAAGTCACTGTTGAACAAAAGATTTGTTGCTGTGTAATTATTGTCTTGTATGCATTTGAGAGAAATAAATATACCCAGACTTATGTTTTAAGAAATTGAGACCTTTCGATACATGCCTGACATTGTTGGTTTCATATACTTGTTTTTTCTACTGGGAAAACAGTTGGGTTGGCGCTGTGTGACATGAAGTAGCAAGAGAGCCGTGCTGTTTGGTGACAAAGCTGACACAGCATGTGTGGCACCAGTAGCTTGCCATCAGCACGTTCAGTGTTTGTCCTGTAGCTTCTCAGACTCCTACCAAAAACAAGTGGGTGCAGTCTGAATGACAGTGGGATCTTACAAATAAATGATAGAGCTGTGTGTGCTGGTGCTGGCAGCACACACCTGTAATTCCAGCGCTTGAGGCAGATGCAGGCAGAACCGCTTACCACATAGAGAGTTCCAGGCCAGCCAGTTACACTGTGAGAGCCTTTCTCACAGAGAAAAACAAAAAACAAAACAAAAAAAAAAAATAAAGGATAGAAACTTATTTTGCTGACTGTATGTACACTTATTTGCCTCAGGTTATCTGTTCAAACTCACCTACTTTTTAACATATAGTTCTTATTTTTTAAATTAGAATTATTTTAATAGTATTTCTCATGAGAGAGAGAGGGAGGGAGGGAGAGATAGGTAGACAGATAATTTCAGTGGTGGTAGCTTGTTAAAAATCACCTTTCCTTAACCACCATAGAATTTCATATTAGAACATGACAGTTTAGCCTGTCCATGAACACTGCTTATCTGCGTTATTTCTAGTGAAGAGTCCTATTGCATCAGTTAAGGCTGAAAGTCATGTGGGGCAGTGTACTCATTGGACTGTCTTTCCTCCTCACTTTAAACTTCCCTCCCTCCTCTCATCTTTGTCTGTGTCCTTCCCTCCCTCTGTCCCTTCCTTCCTTGTTATGGAGGGTCCCCCTGCCACATCAGCCCCAAATGAACACACATAGACTTACTTTAATTATTATACTGTTGGCCAGTGGCTTGGGCTTCTTATTGGATAGCGCTGTCTTAATTATTAACCCATTTCTATTAGTCTAAGTTTTTCCATGTGGTCTTATCTTACCTCTAACTCCTATGGCGGCTCACATGGCGATTGCTCTCGAGGGCCCTCTGTCTACCTTTCCCAGAATTCTCCTTGTCTCCAAATCCTGCCTATCTTCCTGTCTCAGTGGCCGAACAGTGTTTATACCAATAAGAGAAACACAGAAGGACTTGCCCTATCACTCCCTCCCTCCCTTCCTTTCCTTTCCTTTCCTTTCCTTTCCTTTCCTTTCCTTTCCTTTTTCCTTTCCTCTTTCCTTTCCTCTTTCCTTTCCTCTTTCCTTTCCTCTTTCCTTTTCCCCTCCCTTCCCTTCCCTCCCTTCCCTTCCCTTCCCTTCCCTTCCCTTCCCTTCCCTTTCCTTTCCTTTCCTTTTTCCTTTCCTCTTTCCTTTCCTCTTTCCTTTCCTCTTTCCTTTCCTTTTTCCTTTCCTTTCCTTTCCTTTTCCCTTCCCTTCCCTTCCCTTCCCTTCCCTTCCCTTCCCTTCCCTTTCCTTTCCTTTCCTTTCCTTTCCTTTCCTTTCCTTTCCTTTCCTTTCCTTTCCTTTCCTTTCCTTTCCTTTCCTTTCCTTTCCTTTCCTTTCCTTTCCTTTCCTTTCCTTTCCTTTCCTTTCCTTTCCTTTCCTTTCCTTTCCTTTCCTTTCCTTTCCTTTCCTTTCCTTTCCTTTCCTTTCCTTTCCTTCTTTCTGTCTGTCCCTCCCTCCCTCATATTTTGACTGGGTCTTATCACATAGACCAGGATGGTCTGGAACTCAGAGATCCTCTTGCCTCTTAAACAGTGTTGGGATTAAGTAGTGCACACCACCATACCCAGCCAGACATTTTTCTTGATCTCAGTTACTTCAGGCATCCAAAGTAAAAGAGGATACAGAGAACAAAAACATGAGAATGCAGATCTGTGTAGGTGAGGTTTATCTGTGTGTTGGTGGTGGGGTGGGGTACGATGGTGAGGGGAGCCAGGACCTTGGAGTTTCCCTCACATCACAAACTAATTTGGAGACATCCAGTACAGGATTTTGTGTTTTCCTATATTGTGTTTTGAGCACTTTTCTGTGTTGAAATTTAACTCAGGTTATGTTTGAGAAAACTTTACAAAGAAGGCAAAGCTTGGAAAGAAGTAAATGGAGTTTCTCATTATCAGAATCCTGTGAGCTGATAATTAACCCGTGGTGGGTGGGGAGCATTTTGTGCCTGATGTCATGCCTTCAGAATCACTGTGTTAAAATGATGAAAAAAAAAAAAGATAAATCTTTCTATGGATGGGGGTGGGGGTGGGGTTTGTGTGTGAGTGCAGTTGACTGAAGAGGTCAGGAAGGGACGAATACTACAAAGCTGGAGTTACAGGCTGTTGTGAGCTGCCTGATGTGGGTGATGGGAACCCAATTCCAGCCCTCTGCAGGAGAGGCACATGCTCTTAATGCTGAGTTTTCTCCCAGCCCCAGTTCAAACGATTTTTATTTATTTTTTCAAGATTGAATGTAAGCTTCAATGCTTTTGGAAAGACACTAATAAATGCAACTTGAAATGTCAGAGTAAGAGGTCGTGTCTCATCAGGTCAGAGCAATGGCTGATTTCTCTCAACAGCAAAGCTAGTTTAGAATTATGTTTAGTTCTAAGATATCAGAGGGCAAGTCTCAAATGCCACAGTAGAACATGACAATGACCCATTTCAAACAAACCATTCTCTAGCATAGTTAAGATGACCTGAAAAATCCTTCATTTTATTTATTTTTGTTTCAAGAAGGAAAGGAAATCTTTCAGGGGGAAAAAATGGAGATGAGACTCTATCCCCCAAACCCAAACTAACCAAATAAAACCCATGGATTATTAATTTCTGTTTAGGACAAAACCTAAGGAATTTCAAAGTAAGCTCTTTGAATATGTACATGTGTAAATAGCGTGGATCCTAAAAGAATGAGTCAGAGCCATTCTACTGTTTTCTAGAAATAAAGCTAAATGTGGAGTAATTAGTAGCTGTCTCTAGCACATGTCCTGGTGGCCAACCCTCCTCATGCCCACACTTAGTAGCCTGCCTGGGTGGTTTTTGTTGTTTGTTCTTTGTTTTTGTGGTGGTGCAACTCCACTTAACACATTTTGCTGACTCTACAGCAGAGCTGAAAGTGGCACCCATTATCTGAAACCAAGGTTGTAAGCTTCCATCAACGTCTGCAATGTTGTGAAAAGCTTGTAATTTTTCAGCATTGTTTAAAAACAGATGAATCCAGAATAGCAACCGCTGATAAAACACAAAATGTTTTACAGCCTTAAAACATATATTCCATGTCATATAATTCTTTAAGACATTTAGAAAGATAACTGGTGTGTGAGTTCCTTTTGGAGGAAGAGTGTGTTCATTTGCAGTGCTCTAAAGCGGAGCTGCTGTTAAACTGTACACTGGATCACGCTGAATGGCAATGATGCATCCTGCCTGCATCTGCTGCTTGCCTACTGTGAGCTGGTTTCCATTGTGTCCTTGGTTATTGCTGTTTTCTGCTCAAGAAAGTAAGCATCCTAAACAAGTTCTTTGTAATAACATGAAATTTGAAGAATAAAGATAGGTAAGAGTTTCTGGTAAACTGTATTTTACCTAAAGAAGGGAAAACCCTATAAAGCTCAAACTTTGATTGACACCCCTGAAAAAGGAGTTTGAAGAATTTTCTTCCATGGCCTAGAAAAATTGGTTCTTAATATGTTGTGGCAATATTGTGCTTTAACTTCTCCCTAGTACACCTTAGTCCCTCCTTCACTCCTTTTGGTTTTGACTGCACAGAGCTATGCTACAGTACTGATAAACAGAGAGTGTAAATTTACTACTAAAATTTGTTGAGTAAAAATAATGTATGTTTTCCTCTCCAACTTTTTGGGGTTTTTTTGGTTTTGGATTTTCAAGATGCGGTTTCTCTGTGGCTTTGGAGGCTGTCTTGGAACTAGCTCTTGTAGACCAGGCTGGTCTCGAACTCACAGAGATCTGCCTACCTCTGCCTCCTGAGTGCTGGGATTAAAGGCATGAGCCACCACTGCCTGGCTTCTCTCCAACTTTTAAAAAAGATTTTATTTATATATTTTATGTATCTGCATGTGCTCTTTTATTCCAGAAGAAAGCACCAGATGGTTGTGAGCCACCATGTGGTTGCTGAGAATTGAACTCAGGACCTCTGGAAGAACAGCCAGTGCTCTGAGCCATCTCTCCAGCCCTTTCTTCAACTTTTAAACCCATGTTTATGGTAGGAAGAATATATCAAGTCACATATCTCAGAAGCTAACTCCACCTTGCCAGTAATGTTTATTTCTGGTAAGATAGGTTATATGTAATTTGATAGTAACTTATGCTTTTAAGTTTTAAAATGTCTTTTTTATGTGTATAGGTGTCTTTTTTGCATGCAAGTATGAACTAGACATCAAAAAACCCAAATAATCTAATTAAAAATGGAGTACAGACCTAAACAGAATTCTCAGCAGAAGAATCTCAAAATGGCTGAGATACACTTAAAGAAGTGTTCAATATCCTTAGTCATCTGGGAAATGCAAATTAAAACAACAGATACCTATTAGAATGGCTAAGATCAAAAACGCTAATGACAACTCATGCTGGTGAGGAAGTGTAGCAAATGGAAAACTAATCCACTGCCAGCGAGTGCAAATTTGTACAATCACTTTGGAAGTCAGTATGTTGGTTTCTTAGAAAATTGGGAATCAATTTACCTCAAGACCCAGCTATGCCAATCTTGGGCATATACCCACAGGATGCTCAATTACACCACAAGGACACTTGTTCAGCTATGCTCAAAGCAGCCTTATTCGTAGTAGCCAGAACCTAAAAACAACACAGATGCCCCTCAACCAAAAATGTGATACATTTATACAATGGAGTATTACTGAGCTGTAAAAAACAATGACATCATGAAATGTGCAGGCACATGGATGGAACTAGAAAACATCATCCTGAGAGAGTTAATGCAGACTCAGAAAGACAAACATGGTGTATACTCACTCATAGTGAATATTAGCTTTAAAGTAAA